TACGATGAAAAACATGACAATTGAGTGACATGGATAGTCGAAGCTTGATTTAATTCAATATTTCAGTATCAGTAGCTGTAATCCGTTTCACATGGCAAAATCGTATATCACAGCAATGAGGCGACATTCTACGCAGACAAAGAACTCCAAACACAACATAGCTTCGGTAGCATGTTTATTAACTTAGAACAGGAGTACTAACATAAAACGCATAATACAAAAATCGTCCTATAATCGGGGACTTCCGACAAGGTTATCAGATCCTGAAGGGTATCTTGCGGCCGTTTCGCATAAAACAGTAAGAGAGAGCCAACCAATACAATAATTCGAGCCATTGCCTGCGATTCGATTTAACATCAACACATCCCCCATTACTTTTCGTCCCCTAAACTCTACCAGGCTTGGTGTCGGCGTGAGCAGAATGGCCGCGCGATCGCATAAAGGCCAGCGCCTCCATGATGGTCAAGCCGGTGAAGATGGCCCAGATGAAGTAGCCGAATGCGACAGCAGCCTGGGCGCATTGGCAGAAAATACGTCCGTGGCAGTGAGGGACGCCAATGTGAGCAGCCAGGGCGGTAGCACCGGCGAACCAGAAGAGAGAAGTGAGGGCGAGGATGCCGAGAGCGACCATGCTATGGTACATGCGAGGGGCGAAGATGGGCGTGAGGGCGAGGTAGAGCAGCATGACGATGGACCAGACAACACAGAAGAGCAAGAACGCATATTGGGGAGGAGAGCCGCCGCCCCACCAGCTGGGGTTGGTCGCATCTACGACTGAGTAATTATTAGCTTTGCGATGGGATTTAAATTAAAGTGAGGCATCGCAACTTACGGTATGCGGTGAGGCCCAACTCGATGATGAGGAAGAGAGCCAGAACGGCGTGGACGATGGTGATAATTCCCATAGCCATGATGATGATGTTGCTACTGGAAGTAATTCAAATGTGATTTTGTTGGAATAGGTTATCTGAGCTCTAACCAGTATGGCGAGAGATGAAATGAGATGCTTGTGGATGCGGGATGCGGTCGGGTTGAAGAAGGAAGGTCTGGGGCGTCAAGAGTAGGGTCTGGCAGGGGACATGGGAGATTTAAATCACGGCAGGGTCGGAACTCGGAACAAGATGGCAGTGATTCTCCCCAAGAAAGAACAATGACGGACAGTGTTAGTCATGTGGCTCATGAGGAAGAATGGGCAAAAATCGAGGCCAGCCTTACTATGTCCAGTACAACCATCAAGGAATGGAGCTCTCTACGGATACAGCACAATACAATACGTCAGTGAGTGAATGGATAGCGTGTTCGGCAGTCACCTAGGGCCAAGCGCGGAGCTTTCCCCCAAGAGAACCAGGCTTGGGCCAATCAAGGAGAAACAGCTTTGATGTGGATGTCTCAATATCTGCGCTGACGACAACAATGAGTGGCTGATGTTTCTTGCTTTTGAAGCTTGGAAGGTCTAGGGAGGTTTCGATCAAGCAGAGGGCGTCGCAAAAATGACGTGGTGCTAAGAGGCAAGCGCTAAATGTCTGACGTTTTTTTATGCAGGGCTCTTGATGGGTGATGTCATTTCGTGGCTGAGGGGGGGGGGGGGGTTGATTCTTTACTTAGACTCTAACTTAGAGGCTCAGCGACACTCTAGGTTATGCTTGAGACCGAATACGAATGCCGAGCATTCCTTAGCTGAAAGACCAGACAGACCACGCACGGCTGGGCAAACCATCAAAAACATCATCATATTCTGACCTGACAATAACGGCAACGATAAAATTGTCGTGACGCGACGACTCTCGTTCCATCGGCTCCGCCCACCGCATTACTTCCAGTCAGACTCTTGGCTGATGCTCATTCAGCCTTGGCTCTCGGCAGCTAATCCGGAACCCAAGACATCGGATTGAACTTCTCCTCGCGAACATGTATGGCTTGTTTGTCTGTTATCCGGATGTTGCTCAGAACAGAACAATCCGACATTGTCTGTTGCATATCGAGCTTTAAGATGTCTTGCCCAAATGTCTCAATACCAGTTACGCAAAGAACCTGGCACAGCAATTGAGGCGACAAGGCGACCGTTAACCTCTGCTAAGCCCAGGGACTAAAACTCGAAAAGGATTGGTTGCGCACATGCCCGTTCACAAGCCTAAAAGGTCAAATATGAATGACCGCATTCTGGCATCAACCGTTACCAGGTCGCAGAATCCACGCGAAAGAGACAATTGACGAATGCTTGTCTATATGGAACATGCTAAATTTCTTGACAGGTCTCTGTCTTCAGTCACCATGCCCTTTAGACTCTTCTCTGGGCCCATACACTACCGTGACAGTCGTCGTCTGAACAATCGCGCGCTCTTCATCATCGCTATCCTTTCTTGAGTCCCACTTCTGGGTCTTGACGGAAGCACTGCCAAACTTCCTCAGCGATTCCTGTCTCCGAATTTGTCTGATCATCTCCTCGGGTTGTTCCTCTGGCTCGTGTGTTGTGATTTGTGTCTGCACGGGCTGCGCCTGGACAATGGTTCTAAGATCAAACCCAGGATCTTCAATGTCGACTTCAAGCCTGACCTTTCTCGACTTCTTCGCACCAGTTCCTATTATGCGAAATGGATGCTGCCGTGATCCTCTGTTGCTCCCCAGGTCATATCCAGCGGATGACCCTCTCTCGCCAATAAACTTGGGCGCGACGTGCAAGAAGAAGCGCCTGAGGGTAGTCAATGAAGCGCAAATGATTAAGAGATTGGCTTCGACATAACTGGTCTTGGAGTCAGTCACACCGCTGTGCCTAGAATCGAGTCAAACTTACATCCAGACTATGGCACTGGAGAGAACCCAAGTGTAGTCGCTGGCGCTCACAAATGGAACTAGTAGGATTAGTCGAACAACAGAGGTTACGAGTGTCCTAATCCTTCAAATCAGCACACGGTCAATTCCTCTTATCCAGGATAGCTTACGCAGAACCGATTACAAACAACACTACCAGGCCAGCCTTCTGCCGCCGTGGCATTTGCAAACGCAAAATCATCGGCAGGGGCATCACCAAAAGGATGAGATCGGACGCGATGCCGAGGATAGCTGTGCAGATGTAGATTGCGGGTCGGTTCACACAGCTTCCATCGAGAATCGTGAAGTCCCAGCTCTTCTCAAACGGGGTACATCCGAAAATAATAACAAGCATAATTGCTAGATTGTATCCAGCAATAAGAAAAACGACGATGTACACACTCCATCTCCACCACCGCTGGGGTGAAAGCCTTCGGTAAAAGAGTGCCAGCGCCATCTTGGAAAAGGCAGTACACACAGCGTACAAGATAGGAGAAATGAAGGTGAGCTTGAGCATTACTGTTAGTAAAGCCCGAGTCTTTATTGAAGTGTATTATACCTTGTTTCCATCGTTAAACGTTTGAATAGGCATTTCCCATGCATGAACGCCTGTTGCGCCAATAACAAAAGAACCTGTCATTGTCAGCTGCTGTTCGAACTACTAGGAAGGTGTTCGACGGGCAACTTACGAAGTGAGACAAATTGAACACCGATAGAGAATATCCACGCAGTTATGAGACAGGCTATAATCATTTAGCTACAACAATATCTCTACAGATATATACATTCTCCTTACCGGTCTCCCCATCAGGTTTACGCAGAATCCAAAATTTGACGTATAGGTATTGGAGAAAGAAAAGGAAAGCAAGTGCGATGCCTACGGCAGAGATGATATATGATTCCAGCTGATGTCGTCGCTGCGGATGGTCGAAGTTGACTATATAGCCCTCGGGTGGCAGCATCACGACCGTGACGCCGTTGACGGTAGGGAATGGAGCCATGGCGGTTTTGTAGCCAACGAGGCACAAATGAGTTTGCGGTTAAGAGGTTGATACGGTCGTTAACGGTTGGCATTCGTCTTTGATAGAGTCTGACAAGGTATCTGGGATATGCTATGAAACGAGTGTCGGGAATATAGTGGTGAAAGGAATGTGAAGAATATTATAAAATTGTTGAATGTCCCGATCACCGATTAGACGATAAAAAGACGAACAATATAACAATATCACAGATAATTATCAGGCGATCGCCAGCAATACGCTAGAATAAAAACTAGAAGCAGAGCTACAAAACAGAAACGAAGGAGAACAAGACGAAGAAGAGGCATAAACAGAACATCCAACTCGTGACATGTTGCCTTCTTTAACAATACTCCTAAAACCAGCACACTCCAACTGACGCCCCGACCATATTGGGCCTACACTTTCGAAACATCAGCTTCCTTCCGGCCAGACCGTTTACTCCACCAAAGCACTCGGAGATTTGCACAGATCGGATCAAATAGCGGTCTGGGGTGCACGACGCGGAGCATGAAAGTATGCATTCTGGAAACTTGGTGATTGAAACAAGAAGATCCGCTGGAGTAAGATCGACAGCCAGGATCGCATCTCGCGGAAGTGGCTAGGTGACCCACCGAACGAGATGTTTGGTGATGGTCAGAATTGAGATCTGATATATTCGAGCCAGGAGGCTGGGTCACACAAGATCTATCTAGTCTATCATAGTGTTTAGAAGTATATCATTCTATGCACCAAAAAACTCTCCGTTATATCTATTTTATCTGTCTCCTAGTGGCCACCACCAACCACTTGAGACGACTTTCCCTTCACCCTTATTGTTAAACGCGCCACGACAACTTGCGCAGGGATCAAGCCAGCAGGGCTGAAGATTCTGCGGGGACATTTCTCAGCTTCGGTAATGCAATGCTTGACTGACGGTGTCTCAGCTAAATTACGGAGCAGCCTAACCCTCCTTCAAAGCGGTTCTCTCACGGGTTCTTTAACTTCTCCTGTCAAATCTTGTCAGCCCCATCTTGTCTGCAAGCCCAAGGAAATGCGATTGGTTGGGCAGATGCTACGGACGTATGAAACAGGTTCATATGGGACTAACCTTTTAACTGTTCGTTTGATAGCATTGTTGTAGACTTCTCATCGGCCATCTCCCGTGAGATGATCATCTAGAAATAGCACATCTCGATTCCATCATCACTTGCCGTCGCGGTTCCGCTCCTACGCTCCTACCTTCATCTTGCGTACTCATCTTTCTCAACTCCAGAGCATACGTCCCTGAGGCGATTGATCTTTCTCAACTCCACGCAAATCGACAGATTTCTCGACGACAGTAACCTGAAGCTTGAGTCTGATGGAGTAAACAATGAGTCCAACGCCTTGCGCCATCGAACAGCACCTCATCGCATAATGGCCTCAGCACCACATGCTGATGACGATGGTTAGTTTATCATCTTGCGGTCCAAGGGGAAATTGTGGGATCGTCTTTGTCGTATGACATACCGCACGGTTAAAGTTTCGGCGACAGACATTGACCTACGGCAGTTGTATGCCTGCCAAAGTTTGAACAGGATTATGAAAATTAAAATTGACTTGCTTACATTCTTTCGTAAGTAAAGAGGCAGTAAGGGGCTAAACACGCTTTTATTGATCCGGGGTAATGTAGTAGAATCTGGGGACGATCAGATGAAACGACTCGCAAGAGACAGCATTGGCGGTATGGGTACCTAAAGTGTCGGATCTTGAAATGTGTCGTTATTAAGATGAAAGGCTTTGTGCTCTTAACCATTAAAGTTGAATTCTAATCTAATTGGAACCTTGGTTGATCTGCAGCCGTTTGATTACCGGACCACGCGCTATTAGAGCCGTTGAACATTTCCCCAACTCTAATTAGACTCACAGCACACACAGTCCTCGCGGAGACGATGAGACCCAACTCCAAAAGTTTGTCTTCGAAGTATGGGTTCCTACTAGTTATTCTATGCTACCTTTAAAGCTTAAGACCAAAGCAATTGGCGTAGTAGGTAACCGTTGCGCTCCAGTCAGAGAAAACTCCAACAACACCAATCTCACGGAACACATCCAGCAGCTTAAACACGTCACCATCGTTGTTGACGATCTTGGAAATGGTCGCATAGTAGTAGTCGTTGTTGGCAGCGGCGTCTTTTAGGGGACCGGAGCGCTCCAGACTCCAGGTGACGATCTTAAGTCCCAGCTGCTTGGCCTTCTTCGCATAGGCGCTGGGCACGATCTTCCCATCCTTGCCAGGCGTAACAAGGTACGGCAGAGGAGGTGCGATGTATCGGACTCCATCCTGAGCATAGCGTGTGAGGTTGGCCACGGCTGTCTCAAATGTCTGGGGGGTATCGCCCGTCTCGTCGAGGTACATGGCCTGGCGGGCGAATTCAGGCTCAGCCTTGAGCCAGTACAGGATATCGTCGTACAGGAAGCTTTGGAGGTAGACATCGCTTGGCTTCACACCAGCATTCTTGTGCTCGTCGATAAGCTGCTGCGCGTACTTCTTCTGGGTATAGTCACCATCAAAGGGCATCTTGACCTCGGGTGTCTTGAGCTCGGGAGTGTGCTTCAAGCCGAGGCGCTTGACCAGCTGAATGTGCTCCTTGTTGCTCATGACTGTGCCGCATGTAGAGTACAAGTCGGTTCGCCATCTGGGTGTGCCGTGAAGGAAGTCGACCGCGTTGGTAGCCGTGGCATTGAATCCCTCCATCTTTGCGCACAGGGTCTTGAACTCCTTGAGGGTGATGTCGCTTGTGCAGCACTTTGCGGAAGCGGGTTTGCCATCCTTGGCAGGCTTGAAAGGCTGGGTGCACTTTTTGTTAAGCTCGGGGATCGTGACGATGTTGGTTGTGTAGTGAAGATCGCATTGAGAGTGTCGGCACACGAGCTCGCGGTCCTTGGTGAATGCGACATCGCACTCGAGGATTCCGGCACCCATGCGAGCTCCAGCGAGATTAGACTCGAGGGAGTGCTCGGGGAGCTGAAGAGTGCCGCCACCGCGGTGAGCAACTGACCACTCTGAAGGCTTCTGAGGCTTCTCGGAGCACGACTGAAGCTTCTTCTTGAGAGGGCCCTCGTCCATGTTGTTGACAAGATAGTAGGGCCGAGGGCCGAGCTCAATCTGCTTAATTGGCTTGATAGTCTTGAACAGTTCCTTATCGCTGTAGCTGGGCTTGGGTGCGGCCACGACAGGGCTGATGACCGCAAGGCCAGCAACAAGAGGGGTTGAGAAGCGCATCGTGGGAAGAACAAGTCAATTGACTAATATGAAGCGACTGAGTGGGAGAACAAAGCAATCACCAACAAGACTGGGGAAAGGGCAAGGGGTTGAAGCCGAGATTGACACTGAGGCTGAACCGAACACACAAGAGCTTCATGATACTGCTTGGGCACCCACCAGACTTTATGGCTCATGGACGAGAGAGAGGCCTGCATAATGATCCCCGACTCGATCTACCCATCTTGGCTTCGCATCCGAGATGACGTTGCAGGTTGCAGGATCCTCAGGAGCAAGCCCATGCTTACCAGCCATAAAAGTCAAAACATGCAGGCCTTTGCTGAACCTTCGGTGTTGATTGTCAGGCTAGTTGACCCCAATTGAGGAAACACATCGCCGATCACAGGAATTAATGCAGATAATCGCGGTGGTTGAGCTGATACAGGTTAGCTATCTTGATAGGCACGTGTGGAAGAGACACGGGTATCGTTGGAGGTGGGAGCTAAGGTTAAGCTTAGCAGCGTTGCACTGAGGTCGAAGCGTGCTTAGTCTGAAGCTTGTGATTTGCCAAAGCCCAGTCTTAATTGAACCCTTGCCAAAGCCATGCATGCATACAAACCCAGTCAGACCCAGGGAAATCCGAGGACTTCTTGGGGGAATGGAAGGTGTCGATAGAAATGAATCAATTGAAAGACTGTACTCCATGCATGTGTCTGCAGGGGAGTTCAGTCGTGGTGTCATACCGCTTGCCATCGGATTCCTGTCTGCGTCGCGTTATAACTCGTCCTTTGATCCAATGCCTGCCCGGATCTTCCTAACTTCCTTAGTGGTGGTCTGGAAGTGCTCAAAACCAGGCGCGTCTTCTCCAATACCCCAAGCAAACACTCCACCGACCTCGAGCACTGGCACGACACGGTCAAACTTAGTCTGAATACTCTTCTCGGTATCAAACGTCCACCAGCGACGTTCGTCCGCGTCCCAATAGTAATAGCTTCCATCTGTATCATATTTCCCATCTGATTGCGCGCGAGAGAACGAGACACTAACATCCTCGGGGATCTCATCGTGCCAACTGAAACCACCCGTCTTGCTTAAATCAGCCCCAGTCTTTGGGTCCTCAAGCAGCTGAGTCGGACAACCGATGGGCTTCTCAGGATCACACTGTTGGGTCATAAACCACTTGACATAGTATCCAAAACCAAGATTCAAGTGCCCCGGCGACGCACCGAGGTTAATGTAGCGCTGAATGGCGTCCTTGGAGTTCTGCACGCCGCTGTGATGTGTGGTCAAGTTATTACGACGGTTCATAAGGTCGTACGTCATGACATTGAGAAAGTCGACTTCATTCATGATCTTGGGGATGGTGTCGGATGTAAAAGCTATCAAGTCATCCTCTTTGCCTGGAACAGCAGCGGACAGGATTCTCTCGGGCCCAAGAGCAGCGCGCAGCTCTTGAAGGAGCGAGACGAATGCTTCGACCTCCCATTCGCGGTCAGAATTTGGAATCTTCCTGTAATCGTCACGATTTCCTCTGCGTTAAGTTAGTAAACTCAAATAAAGAAAGATCGTAACATTGCTCACCCTGGGTACTCCCAGTCAACGTCAATGCCATCAGCCTCGGTCGCAGCAACCATAGCCGCCACTTGGCGTGCCCAACGCTGCCTGGAAAACTCGGTCTTTGCAGCTTCTTCAAAGCCTTTAGTATCACCCCATCCTCCAATGGCTACCATCAGCTTAGTATGGTTAGAAAACCGGCCCCGGACATCTGATACAGAGGTGAACAGTGGATATTCGTCAGGCTTCTTGTCGACGTTGAAGAACTCTGAGCGCATAAAGGCGACGATGACATGTGATACCTCTTTGAGTGTATCCTCTGGCGGGACAATGTCATGCTGGCTATGTGTTGATGCTCCTTGGTCAGTTGAAGGTCCTCAGGCTTTCAGTGCAGTGAGAGCAAAAACACACCCAGTCAAGTACATAATGCAGCGAAATGGTCTTGAGTCAGATGCGGCGGTGGCTATAGCCACGAGCACGAACAGCCACGCTGAGGTCATTCTCATTATTCGCATCATGAGACCGGGTATTGGTGGAGGTGTTGAGATCTCAACGTCAAATCTCATCTGATGTTGTGGTGAACTGGAGTTGCTTTGCCTACATCTGCAGGCCAGATAATTGCTTTGCGGTGAGTAGCCCTACCTGCGGCAGACACCGACATCACATAAGAACCAACTCCCCAGCCCAGGTTACAACATGTAACTTGTGTAAAAGAACTCATTGAATATAAGCATTTGCATGCAAATTATTATTTCTTAGCAGAAAACCCATAACCCATGGCGCCGTCTTTATATCCTGTCTAGTAACATATGTTGGTGTGACGCCCCCACCCAGTAATTTTACAGCAGCTAAAATTGCATCAATGCTATGCCTCCAAATCTAGAAAAACAAATAATAATCGTGGTATCGTGCTCGTTTCGTGTTCGGCGTACAGAACCCCAAATCAAATGAGTTTCCGGTTCTTGAGTATTCGACTGAGCTCCTTGAGCTGCACTGGCTTAGAAAGAAACAAATCCAGTCCATTGGCAAATGCATCCTCCTGTGCATCCTTTGACGCGAGGCCAGAGATAGCTACTATTTGGCTTCGGGGCAAATTCGAATCTTTCTCAAACCCACGAATCAGCCGCGTAGCTTCGAACCCGTCCATGACCGGCATCGAAATGTCCATCAAAATGCATTTGTAACACCCTTCTTGGGCTTTGTAAGATTCCAAGGCTAGAAGACCATTGGATGCTGTATCATACCCCAGTCCTAGTTTCTTCATATATGTCTGCAGTATCTTCATGTTGATTACATTGTCTTCAACAAGAAGGAATTCGGACTTTTGTGGTTGAGTCGGAAGCGTTGATCGTACTGTTGGCGCTTCTGGCCACGGAGTCCGCCCATCAACATCATCTGACCGCGCCCTTTTCTTTTTAGGGGACAGTGGTGGAGCAATTTCGAAGTAGCCACCACTCTTAACACCAGGTCTTCCTTGAGCCGACTCCGGCTCAAACGTTGGTAGATCGAATATTGTTGAGACGCTCGCACGGTCAGCAGCGGTTGATTGTAACTTGGTCCAGCGCCGGAAGCAAAGAACAAAGGCCTTGGCAAGTTTCCTTGGGCCAACACTATGCCGATAGTTTTGTCAATATCTGCTCATTAATCAGGGCTGAGGTTACTTACGGGCGCGATATAAAACTAAATAGTCCCCAGTTGACCTTTCGGCGTGACCTATGGGATTGGTCAAGCTGTCGAGCAACTGCAGCGCTACGACACACCACGACCACTGGGGACGACAACTCATCTCTGGGCTGATTTGCTATTGATTCGAGATGATACTCGTCGCAGAGAATAAGGTCGGGAAGAAAGGTGGTGTTGCTAGAGGTGCCGACAATTTGCATCTTCAACCAGTTGCGACAGACCTTCTCTAGTAGAGAGTGTTCATCGAACTCCCCTGGAGTCCAGCGTTGGTTGGTCGAACTGCTTCCGGAAGATAAAAAGCCACTGATACATACACGTAGGCCTGACAGCTCTATAGCCTGAGAATCGAATTCATCCCGGTCAGAAGCTGTTTCAGTTGACTCGAGGCTGGCAAGCTGTAGCGGAAGCTTCACAGCAACACGGGTTCCTTTACCTAACTTGCTTTGGATCTGTATGGAACCACCGAGTGCTCTCACAAACTTCCGAACAAGGCTGAGCCCAAGCCCGGCGCCTGAAGCGTGAATATTCTCTTGGGCAAACGGTGAGAATACGCGATGGGATAGATAATCTTGTCCGATGCCAGCTCCAGTGTCGATCACATCAATATGAACAACTCTTTCTCTCGGCCTTCCTTGACTTGGAGGGTCTTGGTACGCGACGACTTTAACAAATCCATCAGTGGTGTACTTCAAGGAGTTTCCACAAAGATTCATGATTATTCGTCGTAGAGCACCCGACTCGACATGAAACGCCCAGTCTACAGCCGGATCAACATCTAAGATCACGAGAACCGTACCAGGTCCGACACCGCTGCTTATCTTATGTTCCCCTACCTTTATGTCATCCGCAATGTCCATACCATCAAGTCGGACGTAAGGATCACGATTGTCATCTTCGCCGGAATTGTGGCTGCGAACAAGCGACGCAGATTGTTGCTGGTAGGTATGACCTGCATGAATGCATTCAACGACGTCCTCCACCAGCATATCGACATCTACATTTGAAGTAAGATGCAGCATACCGTCAAGTGGTGATCTTTTTCGACCAGATTGAGACCCTCGACCCGGATCATGGCCCAAGTTGGACTTTTGCTCATGAGGCCCCTTGACAAAGTTATTGATTCCCGTCCAATCAAGCAGGTGGTTAATGGTGTCCAACAGTGTTCGGCCGCAGACCTCAAGTGAGCGTAGTAAGTCTCCTTGGAAAACGTCCAGGGAGGTGTCACGCAAAAGCTCCGCGCATAGCACGATGCCGTGAAGTGGCGATCGGAGCTCATGCGAAAGCGAACTAAGCAGAGAGGTTGTAGCCATGGAAACAATAGCGCTTTCCATTATGATCACGTCAGCCATGACCACTGTATTGAAGGCTGTCAAAAAGCTAAGTTCCCCACGAACAGTGAAGATACGAGTCGGAGTCATGGTATAAACAAAACACCCAGAGAACCAGCGCTGCCGATGAGAGTCCCAGAGTGGTAGGAACGCGACGCTGCGTGCACCAGGAAAGAGATCACGGATGGCCAGGCCTTCATTTCGTCGCGAATATGGATCGTTTACTTTCCTAGATTTTCGGGTTGTGCCGCTTTGTTCTTCTTGCAGATCTTGGACCTTTCGAGCTTGGAAAGCGGCCATCGCTGAATCTTCACTAGTTGTATCGCTCGAGGCCATGACTCCCTGACTATCGAAGTTAAAAATTTTGCCTTTTGGATAACGGCGAAGTAGTTTTTGGAGCTGTCGTTCGGGGATACTTCGACTGCGCGCTGAAGGTGGTTCGCCGTTGATGCTGGAGGACATGGAAGTTGAGAATCCGAGCACAGGGCATATGGCTCCCTTCATTTGGGGATCCCCGGAGCCCACGGGGGAAGAGATCGAAGCATGGCCTCGGTCGGTCGAGGAAGAAGGCGAAGATGACGATGACGAGGAGCGTCCTTGTGTCTGCGATTCACGTCGTATAGAGCCAGACCGGACCTTGCCCGCAAAAGAACCGATGCCTGCATCTAGAAAAACCACCCCTTCAACTTCTATCGACTCCCTTATAATATTAGCGGCCTTGGAGAAAATCTTATTTAGCTGCTGCTGTCGCGACTCCTCCCCTGTATCCAGCGGTCGAGGGGTCTCTTTCTGCGAGTTGAAAGAGCTTGACGGCCGTTCCAGATATGGGCTTTCAAGGACGAAGGTATTACCATCTGGACTCTGTTCCCCACTAGCAACATCTGCGGCGTGTTCTTGCTGGGCTTGTAGGTTTTGCTGGTTTTTATTGAGGCTGCCTTCTTCCGTCCCCGTGTCAGGATCAAAGTCATGTGCGAAACTGGATTGCCAACCGGACATGGTGGTTTTCCCTTCAACATAGCTCCCCAAGCCACGTACCATGCGTTCTCCAGGGCGGCGACCACCCCCAGATCGACTCAGTTCCAGCTGCCCCAGGATAGACCACGAAGTATCTCGCATGACTTGAATGGACGTTTCATCTAAACTCTCTCGTGGCTTGTTATCTAGGATGCAGAACATGCCAATGTTGATTCCACGTCGAGTTCTTATGGGGACCGCAGCATAAAAGCGATGCTCAGGTCGTTGCTGACAGTACCAGGTATGTCGGAACTTGTCGTGAGTAGAGACGTCGCTTATGACCTTGATAGGGAGCTCGGATGACGGGGACGCTTGTCCCAAGTCATCATGCTCTATATTAACCAATACGTTGTCGCAGATCCCAAAGTCCCGGGGAATCGCGGTGCCACAAAGCCAGAGGGTGTCGGACCCAGAGCTAGCGGGGCTGGCATGGGCGGATATGCGCAGTGAAGGAGTTGCCTCTGCGATGATATACTGGTGTTGGCAATCGAACAAAGACACCATGGCATGGGAGGCACCAAGCTTCAACAGAGCCACCTGAGCCAAAGCTGTCATTGCGGGATCCGAGCATGACCGCAAAGAAGAGGGGGGAATGGGATTTTCGACATCATTGGGGATTGAGTTAGCGATCAGGACCGAATCATATCTGAATGGCGGTTAGAAGATTCCATTTTATATCGCCACATTGGTCCCGGCACGGGTCGAAGATAAAAGTTGGTGATGCGTACTTGAATGTCTCTCGTTCGCGAGATGCCTCGGACACCTTGCTACCAGACATGATCGACACCTGTAACCCATGTAAAACAGCTTCCGCAAGCTGACCGTCGACGAAGTTGGATGCAAGGTTCAGGAAATCTAGGCCATGGAAAATAGTTGCCTTGCAGAATTCCTCTAACGTTGGTAGGATTACTTGAGGATCGATCTAGACTAGCCACCACTCACAGCGTCCCTACCCATTACAATTGCATAGGTCAGAGCTATTGCCACCCCGCTTTGCCCTTGTAAAAGTTCCAAGCCGCCCTAAATAAGATGCTACAGTGGAGCTCCTAAGCCTACCTAGCATGGAGATCTGGCGCATAAAAACGGGAGATCGATCGATGTGCTTTAAACCTCCATGATGAGTTGCATGGACATTTGACCAGGTCAGGCACCCAGCCATGAAGGTCATCTGTTTGAAGCTGCAGGGGCACTACGATAAGTCCTTCGCGTCTTCGTCGCCAAATGTCTTACACGGATCTAATTTTGTGATTGAAGTTGGATACTGACCTGTTCTTCATCAGCTTCATGGGCCCCAGAAAGATAGAACATCCTGGAGCCCTGGCCAAGGTACGGAGTACCTAGATAGGCAATGAACATAGAAAATAGAAACTGCTCCACATAGATATCGATTTATTGGTTGTGTGATGCTCACCTCGCATATTGAGTCGCAATTCTAGCCACTAACCACAGTCCTAACCCCTTATTTCTAACCACTAATCCAGCCACTGCACTTTACACGGGATCTGTAGCAGCAATTGAAGACCGTTTTTAGTTGGATCAAAGTTGAGACTGCAGAAAGATAAAATCTTATAACATCGGTTTATTAGAATTCATAAAATAGTAAAAATAAACTACGTTCATATATTAGTTCTATACATCGTTTCATAACACTCAATTGAACTAATTGAACCCTTTAGAAATGCAATAAGTCCTACTAGGCTTAATATAATTCTTCTTAAATTATCTATCATATTCAGATATGCTTGGTAGTTTTATCTGTTTTTAACCTGGAGAAGGTACTGGAAAACATGGCACGGTCGTGCGATGCGATGTTATCGATAAGCTTTCTACTGGATCCTAACATTCTTTTTTCGCGATCTTCAATTGACTAGCTTCTGACCTTGATCTTTCCTTCACACCTCACACACAAATCAGCATATATAAGATACTATGTTCGAAAATACAGGCACCCTGCCTCTTACGGCTGATGTGCTTGCGACAGCCCTTCATCCCTCCGAGCCTCTGCTCACGGTTGGCCTAGCGAATGGCCATGTTGAAGCCTATCGATTACCTGCTGGTTCTTCTTCTGATGACAACGCCGACGCGGATTCTAGCATCTTGAGTGATGGGAAGGGCATGATAGAGTCTGTTTGGCACACTCGGCGACATAAGGGAAGCTGCAGATCTTTGGTCTACGCGCACGATGGCTCGGGTAAGTCTTATTCAAACCTCCTGGCATATCTTGCTAACATGCTCTAGCTGTGTACTCTGCAGGAACCGATGAGCTGGTCAAGCACTTCGAGCCCGAGACGGGAATGGTCATTTCCAAAATTGCGATTCCTACCAAAAATTCACTTGCCGATGCGCCCACTCTCCTCCACGTTCTAAACCCTCAGAGTTTGCTTCTTGCGACTGACTCTGGCGCCCTCCACATCATCGACCTCCGAGACGGCGCGCCAGGTAAGAAGCCTGCCCAAACCCACTTTCCGCATATCGACTACGTCTCCTCCATTACCCCTCTGCCGCCGACGAAAGAGAGCACCAGTGGATTCCCCAAGCAATGGGTTAGTACTGGCGGCACCACTCTTGCTGTAACAGATGTGAGAAGGGGAGTACTTATGCGTAGCGAAGACCAAGAAGATGAGCTGTTATCTTCTTGCTTTGTACCGGGCATGGGTCCCAAAGGGCACCGCGACAACGGCGTAATGGCTTTGGGATCTGGCTCTGGTGTTCTGACTATGTGGGACAGGGGAGCCTGGGATGATCAGCAAGAACGCATCATTGTTGATGGCGATAAGAAAGGTAGCGGCGAAAGCATCGATGCTATGGCTTTTATCCCACAGGAGATGAACCTGGGCAAGAAAGTCGTTTGTGGCCTTGGTGATGGTGGCCTCCGCATCGTTGATCTTGTCAACCGTGAAGTAGACTTCTCCATCAACCTGCGGCATGATCGCATGGAGAGCGTCGTGTCATTGGGTTTCGATTCCGAGAACCGACTTATCAGTGCCGGCGGAAGGACTGTCAAGCTTTGGGAGGAGCTTTCTGAGCTACAAGGCGGTGACGAGGAGGAGGATGAAGACGAGGATAGTGATGCTGAAACGGGTGACAAGGGCCACGGCAAGCGACCTGCAGAGAGCGACAGTGATGAGGAGACGAAGCCAGGCAAGCGACGAGGCGGGCGACGAGCCAGACGACGTCAGGCACGGGAAGAAAAACTTGGTCCCTATGGCGCAAACGGGGTCATGCACTTTGACATGGACTAGTTAGATGGAGTATTTTCTTGATTCGCAAAGTGTTACACCGCCGATAATACCCTATGGTCATGGAAGACCTCAAAATACATCGCTAAAGCACTTCAATTGCACAGATTTAATGCTGAAAACCTTCGATGTTTGTATATCTGGCTAACTATCTTCTTTTTTAATCTTTTTTGAAGAGGTCCACCCTCAGAGGAGGTGGACATCCAACGACTCATGTGCAGTTGGTGGTCTTATCCGAAACGAAGCACAATCACGTAGTGAAATAACCAAGAACCCATTCGTGTTGCGTCCCCCGGAGATACCCCTAGGTCGATGCTACACGACCTCGGCGGTAAATCTTTGAGGCCCAGTAGCCTCATGTTTGACTCGAGACCCAGTAGTCTACTGGCGATGAGTCTTCTCGAAGCCCAGTAGCTTCGGAATACAAGTGCACTTTTTCCCATCCCGGTTAGGGGCAGAAGCAGAAACCCAGCCATCAAGATATGGCGTCACGTGGCTTGCGTCTGAACCGGTGACCAGAGAAAGGACTTGAAGCAGCGTCAAGCCCAGAATTTCTCTCCTACAGAGAATCCTAGAAGATTCGGCTGTTGATTGGTGTCTTGCTGAGAAGAGCGTGATATCCCATTGATTAGGTACGGAGTCTGAGGACTCTGTGGGATAGGGGTCGTGCTGCTTTCTCAAAAGCTCATCAATCTTGACGGGTTGTTGGGGCGAGGGTCGATGTCCCTCGTATAAATATCGCATAAATCATTGTAATCCGAAATCCGAGAAATCGGTATAAGAAGGGGGGCTTCAGTATGGGAATAAGAGGCTGAAAAGTCCTTGCAGTTTACAAGACAGGTTGGTATAAAAGAGATGATGAATCAGATCTTGTCGTATTGACAAATCAAGAAGGAAGGTCTTAGACGCCGGGGAGATGAAGATAACTCCAACAAGCGTCCTCTGACTTGGGCGAGTGATCAGCCCGCGCCAGGTCCTCCCATGACTTCCGTGTCGCTGGGTGCCACCGATTTGGTGGGGGGGCTTCATGGTAAGGTTGTCGTCGTAGATGATAACAACAGGAAGTGTTTTGGAACTCCTGACGTCCTTGTCGTCTTCGTCAGTTGAGGAGTTGCTGGGTCCGCCACCTGGATTGAGTTCGCTTCCACTGTAGGTCGTAGGTATACAGATGTGAAGAGAGGTATCCCTTTCGTAAACCAATAGTCCGGGCCAAAGTGACAGCAGAACCACCTCCAACACTGACAACACAGTCTCGGCCAGAGACTCGGGTCGGAACGGTAACGACGGATGAACTATTTATTCGGGTATAGTGGTTGGGAACAATAGCCTGGATCTTGCGGGCGAGGTTCAGTCGTGACGGGCTCGAAAACGATGAGCGGTGAAGATGAGTCCCGCCGAGCCAGCTCAGATGGCAGACGATTAATAGCGTCGGGTCCAACAACTACACGAGGTGGTCAGCCATTTCTATGTTTTCGACGATTTCGAGATCGGCAGCGAGGTCGCTGGTCCGTGGCGGAGGGACCAGCGTGAGTAGATTGAAGTGACAAGTCTGTAGCCGGAGGCGTCACAAGAGCAGGCGGCTTTACAGCGAAAGCTGCAAAGAGCTTTGCACGTATGGCGACGAGGTCCGGATCGGTGGCTTTTTGAGGTGGAAGATATATGGCGCTGGGTGGAGTGGCGCATGAAGGGCCAACACTGGCTGTCGAGAGTATCGAACGGCGTTGGGTAAGAAATGACGAACTCAACGTGCGCGACATGAATCAAATGCCCAAAATGGCAATATAGATTAATAGTTGAAGGTAGAAAATAAGAGTTTGGATCGAGATTTGATGAAGGATTAGAGATTCACAAGACAGAAACATAACACAAGGTAAGCTGGGGCACATTATTATGGGCAGATAGAGGTGACCTGATGCAAGCCCTTTGAGTGAAAATCCCTTAGCAGCACCTGTGAGAAGGCGTCCCTTTGCTGATGTATTTTGCCACCACCTCCTATGCTAGGTGTTTGGGAAATTTGCTTCCTTTTTCTCTTGCTAACGTTGAAGAAGAAAGAGGTTCCGACCAGCAACGACAGACAAGTTGATCAAAGGCCTAGAACCGAAGACGGCAATTCAAGTACGAAATACCGGCAATTCGAATGGCAATGTTTGGCTGCTGGCGGCCTATCCCCTGCAAGAGACACTGGAAATTTGGGGACAAGAGGGGGGAGATACGATAATACTTCTGTAATGAAGACGTCAAAGGTGGACGGGCAAATGGATGGGCACACAATTAACCCCCATAACCAAGTCAGAGCTAGTTATTCCGTTCCGGTCGGACCTTGGCTCCGGCGTGTAGGCTAGTGATTGGAGGGAGACAGCCTCTGAGATCTCGTGGACCTCCGGAGGGAGTCCGCCAATTAGAATCGACAGGAGGGATCGTTAGGCCGCCAGGATGCAGAGAAATAAAGCGATAATTACATTCTTTGGGTGTTGAAGACGTGATACATGTGTTGGCATATCTCAGATATGTAGGTAAAACAATGTGCATTAATACACTACATAAGATTGGACGCTATTGCCCAGAACAGAATGTCCTAAGTAAGCCAAACCTATGAGTAGACTTAATCCCTTGGTTCCTAGGGTAAGCACTTAACTGTAAGTCTGATTTAGAAAGGTGTTGATAATATCATATACATCCTTCTAAATCCTAAAATAATCTTTATAATCTTTTAGTTTTGTTAAAACTAGTATTTAAGATTTACTAATTCATATTCTTGTTGTACTCCTTTGTTTATTTTGTTCTCATTTTAGTAGTTTACTTAAGTCTTTCCCAAACTTCAGGGTGGAGACTATACTCCAAAATTATTTCAGTCTTTGGCAGCTCTTAGAGTGATACTTGTTTTGACGTTAGTAGCTGTTATACATAGGAAGTGAATTTTTCTTTTCTGATACTTTCACGAATTCGTGCAAGCCAATGAAAGTCTGCGATCGGCCATCAAATAACATAAAACAAAAATGGTCCTAGTGGAAGAGAACCAGCATGATTTGGCTGCGACACGCGTAACCGATGTAAAACATCCGCGAAATGATGGGGAAAGAGGGTGGGCTCTTCTATCTGGAACAGCTCATGAAAGAGATATAAATACCGAGTAGCTTGCCAGTGGATATGCATTTCGGTTGCCGGCAAAAGGATCTTGCTGCAACTAAGGGAAACGAAT